ATAGCATGACTCTCTTTAAAGATTAACTCGCAAGAACCATGGGACACGACCGACGTCACGGATAACAGCTATAATGTATAAATTATTATTACTAGCGACAACAGAAATTTGTATTTTGTGAGAGATTGAAATCTCTAGCAACTCTATTAATAAGGGAACACTTTTTTGCTAATTGGGTGCGGAACCCTAAGGTGAGAAGGCTGCTCTGTTCTTGAAGTAGGGTAATACTTGACAGGTTAAAGGTAGTTGACAGCGTTGAAATGCGATGTATCTTTCGCGACTTTAAGAAATCCAAACGCGAACTATGATGGCACTTCATTAAAGCTTAATGGGCTCCTCTTGACAGAAGTGTTTCGAAATTGGGACAGTAATTACGATTAATTGGGCTCGCGACTTCATGGGACAAATTAACTCTAGTGAAGACGACGATAAAAAGTAAATAATAAAAACAATTTTGCCATTGACTCGCCTTACTTATTTTGCCGTTTCGTAATGAAAAATAGAAGAAATAATAAATTATTCGAATGTTCCTCAGGTTTGCCTGCAATTTACACGACTATGTAATATATTTCGTTTGGAGCCGTTAAAAGCGTTAATTTTTTTTTACTTTCGTTATCTTTTTTTTTATGATGAACATAGACAAATAGGCTTTTTTTATTAGGGGGTGATATACCCTATCATAGTACATATCAACAAGATTCTAACAATTATTGGATTTGGATATTTGGAAATCCGGAATGAGACCGAAACGCGATTAAACTACTTTTTCAGCCGTAGACCCGGACGGTATTCCGATATTCGATTATGAGACAACATTAGCACAAAATGTAAATAAAAATGATCAAACTCAATAATGCAAGAAAACATGGCGAAATAATAACTTCATGGAAATATTTCGCCGACTAGATCAGCAGTCAATCTAAATTGGCCGAAGCGAAAGCTAAAATAAAATAAGCAATAAATTGGCAACACAGACACCGAGGTATTTCTATTTCATTACTTTTTACACTCGGATAGCCGTAAATAATGTTGCCATTACGCGAAGATATTAGATTTATGTTTTATAGAATACCGTTTAGGTAGGCAAAACTTTTATGGCAGAGCAGGACAGACGAGCAGCGATGGTTAATCGCGTTTCAGTCTGTAAATATGTATTAGGCAAGCAAAAATGTTGAGCCAATAGAATTTTTGTAAATTTGAAAAAATAAGGACTACATTTTTAATGGCTTCTATCAAATAGTGTCAAGACTAGTTTTTTTTGAGTATTCGGTTGAGTATCACACGTCAAGCATTGACTACGGTTTACGCGAGTAGTAAACATTAAAATAAATTACTATTAACAGTTTAAAACGTGAAATATTTTAAATTGAATTTTAATTCCGGCTTGACGATTCACCACAAAGATTAAATTAAAATTGAGTTAACCAATATATTTCACGTTTTAAATTGTTAAGAATGGCGTTTTATTTTGAGCAATCGAGGACCCCACCGTAATGGAAGGAGCGACAAATAGCGAATAGCGCAAATTATATTGAAAACAGACGTTTATCTGTACCCGGGATATCACATTGCAGCAGGTCTGCGTCTGATAAGGTCGTATTGTGGCGTGGGAATGAATTGACAGGCGTAATCTGAACGAGCTACCGAATTAATATTCCGCTCGTTTACAAATAGGAAACTCGACGGCTTTCGACGAGTTTCAAAGTTAATTTCTATTATTATTATCTGTCCCAATTGATTTATAAAATAGCCGACCTGCAAATTTTGTTTTGCTGATCGAAGTATGTATTTATATCGAGGTTTCTTTATGGCATTAAGTTTTCTATTTAGGTTACGTTACTAACTTCACGAACAATTTTTATGCCTGTGTTACTCCATGTGAAGTACTCAGATTCAAGGGGTATCATGACAAGAACATGACCCTCTCTCCTAGCTGGTTCCAGAACTTAATTGAACTATAGATTTTATTTACAAAGTATTATTTGTTAAGTAAGTATTCAATTACGAATTAATATAAATTAAATACATTTACGTATGTACATTAATAATTACCTACTTTTCACTTGTATTTATTGTTATCCAAATTAAATGAAAGCTTCTTGACTTGACCACGACTATGTGACCCCCTTCCAAATCCGTCTAAATTCCCTATTCAAAACTGTATTCGCCCTTGACTATATTACAACTTTCCTATCACCCGAGTACTTTGTAAGTCCCAATTTTTCGATTTCACATTCCTCAAAACAAGTACTCTGATAACAGATACTTAATTCATCATTACAGTACTGACAATAGTTTTCCACGCTCGATTTCACTAACGGTTAACCAACGCGAAGTAGGTTGACGTCGAGTCGTTTGAGAAATATGTTGTAACTTCCTTTTCGAATGATATAGGGAATTAGATCAGGAGCCCTAAGGTGTCCGAGGGTCTAACCTATATTAGAACATACTGGACCATATTCGGGCGTTATCCGGAATACAATATGTACAATCATATATGTATAATAATTTTATGGAACATGTCGGACTCCTGTTGGAAATCTGGATATTAAATGGGTAGAAATATCGAAATTCTGTCCGGGTGAGGAACCACCCATGAAAAAGTCGTGAAGCCGTGAAGCCGTGAATCGCGTTTCTGTTTCAGTCTGTGGATTTACGAATATCCAAAGCCAAAATAGGTTTACAGCACATCTTCCTTAGATGTTACATGGCTGGGGTATTTCACTATCAAGTGAAACCAAGGTTGTCTGTCTTCCTCTGTCAAAAAGCAAATGAGCAAAAAGCCTAACAAGCGAAAATTGTAGGAACAGAAATACATCCTTCTTACGTTTATAAAACTTTCTATATTTTAGTTTACACTTTTACAATCTTCATTCTTCTTCTTCATCTTCCATTCAGTTTGTCAACACTTTCTGTCTGTTTACATAATACATTTCATCGGAAGGTTTCAGTCTGGCTCGAGGCTCGCCGAGGCAACGCCGTTCGCACGTTAATTCGTTCAGCAAAATTGAACCAAATCATTGACCAGACACGAATAAAGAGTTATGTAAGCTTATTCACACGTGAGTCACTCTAACGGTAAAGGCAACTGCTAATTATTACCGTTTCACTCGAAAACCGGATGAGGAAGATCCTGCCGTGTGAATTCTTTGTCTTTGTGATTTTTTGTCAGTACGGGCCTACCCCAATGTGCAGTACTTCTAAATACCTAGGATACATGGCCATGACTAATTTGGTATTATTTTATAATACATATTGTTAAAAATGACAAATTGCTTTTAAAAAATACTGGCGATCACCACCCGATAGCAGGACTACTAAAACTTAGATTATTAGAAAATTCGAAATCATATCTTTAGTTTAACGCGCTTTTAAAGCCACTTCTTTAGGTTTTAAAACAAATACTTTTAAAATTAACAAGCTTAGTTGTAATTGTTATAATAGTACATACGATTATTTTCACGTCTTCTGACAAAAACTACTGTCAAGAAACCGTTGCTCTAAAGCGTTAAAGACGAGCTGTTAAGGTTCGTAAAACATTATAAAATAGTGAAAATTTTAAATCTTATTAACTCCTTACCTATTAATTTAATAGATAAAGAAATGCGTGTTTTGGGGACGAGATTTCACATATACATATAAAAGACAAGCCAACACGACCTGCCACAACGTAAAGTAACGCAACAGGTATACGGAAATAACTGCCTTAACTTTGACCGCGATGTGTTGCTAGAATGCAGTCGGTTATTTTTAACCGAATTTTATAGTTCACGGACACATGGCTGCTCGGAGAACTGGAAAAGGACGCTCTAACATAATAAGAGAAAGAAATGTAACGTATTTATTTTTAATTAGTTAATATCATATATGTATGTGCAACAAAGTTTGCACATGTTGCTAGATGATCTATGAAATAAAACTTGTAGACGATTAGTCCCTGTAGAAGCCAGGTAATCTATACCAATATTATAAACATTATTTTTGTGCCAGTTAGACGAAGCTAGTTAGAGGAGGTGGGAAATATAAAAAACGGGGAAAATTATTAATCTTTGAATATATGTATAGCTTTAAAAATTTACTCACAGAACCGCTTTTATGGTATTAAAATTTAGGTCGAAATACTGCATATGGTTCTGCCAGGTCAACTACTTAGTTGTTTATGAAAAGCGTGGTAACGCTCATATTCTCCATTGGAGATCCGTCTGTTGTCCTCATAACATCGTCAAGTTTCTCTTAGTTCGAAGCCCATTAAAATAAATATTATAGTTTCTTTCTTTAAGTAACAAACTGATCGAAAGATTAAAAGCGACTTATCAATGTATCAACAGGGCGAACGGAAGCTTATGTTTCTAAGAGTTTTAACGTAAATATTAACAAAAAATTACCACGTGTGTTTATATAACGAGATCTTGACACTGCGAACGGATGAACAACAACTGAAGAATCCATTGCGTACACATTAACCATCTAACCTTGTAAGGGTTTCATTTTGAACAATACTGTTTACAAGAAAGTGACTTTTAAAATACGCCCTAGAAAATTTGAACTTTAAATTGATATTAACTCATTAAATACGGTCTATAGTTTACGCGAGTAGTACACATTTAAATAAAACACTTTTACGGTTTAAAACGCGTTATAGTAGTCAAACTTATTTGAAAATGATTTTTAACTTCGGCCCGACGTTTCGGATGCTTTGCAGCAGCCGTGGTCACGGGGAGACAAATCATTTCCAAATAAGTTTGACTAATATATCGTGTTTTAAACCGTTAAAGTGTTTTATTTAAATTAACTCATTAAAAAACATTTACATTCAGCTTTGATATATACCTACGAAACATAAAGTTATATAACAAAGCATGTTTTTAAACGTATTTAGATTTTAATTAGTTTTAATTTAGAGTTGATAAAACCATAGATTATAAATAATATATAGATATAAAATATTTCAGAGTGCCAATCGCTTAATTGCATTTTAGTGAAAAAAAAGAATTACATACCTGTCACAATCGAGACGAGGATTAATCCAAAAAGCGCGGGAAACACAGCCATCTTGAAACACAAACTTCAATGTTGCACAGATAACCTCACAAGCATTACTAGATGTGGTCCAGAGAGTTGGTTTGTTTTTTTTAACCCTAAACTAGTTTCGAACTGGCCGGCTGCTTTCTGTAACAAAAAAGGGTTTATATAAGTTTTTTGTTCATTTTATTTTTGACTCGGCGTACGTTTATGTTATAGGTCGTGGAAGACGGGAATTTAAATTTTGAGACGTTAAAGAAATAACGACTTTGAGAATTAAATATATTGTCATCTCGTCGTAAAGGCTTTTAGAAGACTGAAAAATAATATATCATAAAAAAAATAAAAGTTCTGAAAGTAACCTTAATTGCGATGGAGAAAGACAGACAAAATGGAGATACTTGATGGAAGTTGTAGCACCCCAGCCATATAACACATCGTAACCCGAGTGGAATATAATAATGTCTAATATACTTCACTGCTTAGTTCTACAATGCTGTAATAATCACTAATCGAAATTATGCATAATATAGCATAAGAATAATGCAACGATTAATGAGTTAGGCAACAAGTATTAATTAATAGCTGATTAGCAACGTAATAAATAACCAACACTCGCTAGTTTATCGAAACAAGTTTTGCATTGTTGACTTTGCCACTAACTAGAGTTTTACGTTTAAAGTTTAAATCAATGTATAAACTCGCCATACGCACTAAAGGAAAGTCGGATGATTTTAAACCTTAGATAAAGCACGTTATTATATTTACTAAAAGCGATTTTAGAATTATGTATTAAATAAATTAATTTTAAGGTTCGTTCGTTTTAAGGTAAAGTTACGCAAGTTTAAACGCAAACAAATCTTTGACTGCAATATTATGTACAAAATAAAGCTCGCCATGATTATACTTAGAAGATAGGTTGCGGATATTTACTTACACTTTTAAAAGTCAGCTATTGCTTAAATTCTAACATGAACATAGTCTATATTATTTTTAACCTTAAGAGCCGCCTGTCGAAGGAGAAAAAAGAAAAGCACACAATAAGTAGCTTTACTAGGTATCTATATATTTCGATCGAGGCTTAGGCGATCTGATGTTTATAAATAGGGGTTTCGTTTTATTTTATTAGGTAGTGTTTCCTGCTATTTTCAGGGTTCCGCATCTTCTGAGTCTTTTGCACTTTTTACCGTATATTATTAGCAACCAGTAAGCACTTAAAAGGTTCACATGATTCAAGACTAAATAAATATTAAGGGGGGAGCTTTTGAGTTGGCCAAATAACGTTCCCGACCTTCCACGTTCCAATAGAAAAAGCCATTTATATCGATCAAATAATAAGCAATATCATTTGATCGATATATATTTTTGATAATTTTTTTGAAGTTTTTGATTCATGATCGATAAAAATATTTGAAATTACCAAATTGGATTTTTACCCGTGCGACAGTCCGAATCAACTTGGCCGTTTTATTTCAGATACGGTTAAGCGACTACCACGATCTGCGAAACTATTAGAATATTAATTTTAAGGCCCAACGATTTCCAAACTTCTACTTGGAAAACGTTCAGCTAAATTGATTACAACCCCACATAATAGTTTAGTGGAAAATGCAAACTAGTGGCTTCTAATATAATCTAAATTATCTTCTACGTTGATCAGGGTTTAACGCTTTACTACAACTTCATTCACAGAAAAACTATAATTTAAAAACAAAAACACAACAAGTTACTTAAGCCTCTTCTCTTAATAGAAAAAAAACTGCTTTTTTCGACCTTATGCTATCTTCAAATATAATGACGCTGATTAAAGTTATCAAGCAGAAAATAATAGAAAGTTACAATCGATCTTTGTACTTTTACGAAAAACCGGTTCGTAATGTCGACTTTGAAAGCAGGATTAAGCTAAAAATAATTAGAGAGCACTTTCACAAGACAATACAAAATCTAAATAATCTTGTATTTACGTGTTGTTTATTTGTGCGTCTGCGCCGCTGCCGTTCACACGGACATGTGGGTAGCGTCGTCAAAACAGATAGATACTTAAAGTATACAAATTTATATAAATATATATTTCTTAATCTTCGTAAACAATTTTGGATAGAAAAAAAATGATTGTGCTCTAGCATTTTAACTATGATTTCAATTTATTTCGATACAGGCCAGGGCGCTCATCACGCAAACAATACGAGTAGTTAATATTGTACACCAAAAGGTTGACATTTTCACGGGGTATTGGAGTGAAATAGCAAATATTGTTCTTAACGAAATTACTACTAGAACTAATGAAAATAGTTATTAAAACAGTTTTCATATGTATTTATTTTTATATATTGTGTATTACTGTCGAATTGGATTATATCTGTAATGGCAGCATATATTTGTGTGTAAATAAATAAATAAAATAAAAATATTTAAGGATCGGTTCGCAGACAAAAAAAAAACACTTTTTGGAATTTATGGATGATGGTAACTTTTCTGCCATTCCGGTATTCAAACTTCCGAACCTCGCAACACTTTCCTTACAAGTAACCTAGTGAATATATTGAACTTGTTTAATTGGCCGACCGTACTGATTACTCGATGCGCCAGCGCATCCGGCGGGCATACCGAAATAGCTGTCCCACAGAAGGAATAAACGTACTCTCCGCTCTCTCTCCATACTCTTACGAATATCTTTCCGGCTTTTTGTTCGATTGTGTTGGTTAAGCGGCCGTTCGTGAGGTCTTGATAAGAATGGGTTTAGTCACTAACCAAACGAAGCACTTTAAATTTATGGAGAGTTTTATAGTAAAGATATTTGTACCTTCTACTTGTTCGGCTACAATAAATAGTTCTCTACTGACATTGTCATTCATGTCATTCACGAAAACCTAAGTAGTTTTGTAAAATAGTCGCTAAAACCTTATACAATTTATAGATTTATTCTAAATTCTAAGAGAGATATAGACACAACTATAAAATTAAAGAAATAGTTTACGAGAGTACACATTTAAACAAAACACTTTAACGGTTTAAAACGCGAAATATATTAGTTAAACTAATTTACAAATGATTTTAACTACTTGCAGCAGGCGTGGTCACGGGGAGAGATATCCTTTGTTAGGCTAAATCGGCCTCAACCTACATACATACATCGTATTTCGTTTGAAAAGGCACATTCGCCTCTGCTCCATATATTTGGAAACTAATGGCCATTATCCATAGTTTCGATCAAATAATAAACACAATTATTGACGATAATGATCGAAAACGCTTTAATTTCAAAGAGCAATAAATTAATATTGAAGTAAAATTAATTAACATTCGCAATTACAATTATTCAGCTTTCCGTGATATGAATTTAAAGCTTTTGTGAAAACTTTCCAATTATTGGGATGTGGTGGCCTCCTGTTACACCGGAGTGTAACGGCACTGGCTTCTATGCGTATTTTGTATGTGCGGCTAATAACCGACCCACCGGGTCCAACATTTGTCTGATCAATGTATAATTTGTCTGAAACGTGTTGGACTTCGTCTACAAATCGGGATATTAAATGTGTGGTAGGAATATCGAAGTTCTGTGTCACGAATCACCGTCCCCAGACAAAGGGGCGTGAATTTACTATTGGTCGTCGGTTTGAATTTCGTCCGTGTCTAAATTTTTTTTAAAGGACTGTATTGACATCAGAATAGGCTACAATTTATTATGACATATCTTTATTGTCTATTAAAAAAATAGGTCGTCTGTAAAGTCGGTTTACTGTCAAAAGTTGAACCCGAGTGACTCAAGTAGGTGTGAGAAAGATGTCGAACGTTGGCAAACGCGGAGGCCGATTGTGCCTATTTGTCGCTCGTTCCGCGCTCTCGCTTGCACTTCAAGCGTTAAATGGAACGCCTCAGAGCATGGTAACGCCGCATGCGTCATGTTTTTCGGAAGTGCGTCCAGCTCCATGGAATTATAAGTCGTCACGCCGAAAATTATCAGTTATGTATAACGGTGTAACAGGGTGCGAAAAATGACGACATTGTTGGTACTCTGTTGCCTAGCACCCATTGATTGGGGCACACCCCTCCCACGGCACCCAGTCATATTACAAGGATATTCCGAGAATCTTTTGATATATGTACTCTATTTTAAGGAAATTGTGTTTAGTATAGTATATGACAAAGTCAGGATTCTAAGAAACAAATTAACAAATTGTCAAATTGCACTTCCGACGTATTTTAGATTTAGATGTTCCGCAATCTATAGGCTTAAAACTCAGATCTACTTATTTTCACATTACACGGCTTTTCCACCTGTGGATTGTGGTTCATCGGCGTGAATATCGATTTTACTACAACCCAAGGATTTTTTTAGAAACATGTACATTGTTACCATAAGACTAACGATGACGTCAAACGATACGCTATAAAGCTATACATCTGTGATTCATCACAAAATTTTAATCTTTCCGAAATCTAAATCGTGGGCATCGTGATAGTTGATTGTTGTTTTAACAAAAATATTCACCTATTGGTATCAGTTATACAGTTTTCCACTTTTTATGACAGAGAAAGAGAGTCAGGGATGGTTCCCTTGGAGGAACCATGGAGGTGGTCTCACTAAAACCTTTCATTTGCACCCACACAATCATACACCAAGTCCGTTAGTCCGTCCGTTCCGTCGGTTTTCAGATACCACTCTCGGCACCAGAAATTCTATTTCATGATATGTAAACAGGAAACGTAACAAACGACTATAATAAACATTAAATCATAGTTACATCTACGTATTGATAGCTCGCTACAACATACCCATTGTGTTCGAGCGGTAAATCAATTGTATGTGTTGCTGTAATTGCAGAGTTTTCGGCTGGCTGTAAATTGGCTGGATTTTGTGGAGCAATTGGAATCGAATGGACATAAATAAAACTTTGATAGTCTCTTTCTGCACGTATAGAAGATTCTTTTGATTTACCGCACAGTTAGTAGAAATAATTCACTATTGTATTACAATAATCTCTTGCCGGTTAGTTAATATTACATATAATATGCACAATAGTTTGTAC